ACTGGCAGTTCCCTCTGTTTGGAAAGTTGTTTCCCAGATATCTGCAAGTTTCCCTCCATCCCTCCTTTAAGTCTTGCTCAAATGTCACCTTCTCAGAGGTGAGTAAAAACCTACTGACTAAATAACTAAGTGAATGGATTTTAAAACAACATCTTTTATACATACCAGGCACTTTTACTTTATAATTAATTATTATATTTTCCCTATTATTGTTTTTTTAAAACATATGATCTGGCCTTACTGGTTCATGCATATTTTCTCAATCTGTAAAAAATTAGATTACTGTATAATGTCTCATACATTAAATGCATAATAATTTGATGGCCTTGGATATTTTGGAAACATATAATAATATTCAATGTTTTCTGAAGTAATTTATGTCGTACCTTGCCCAAGTAATTAATTAGCTTTAATTTGTGACATAAGTGAAGTAGTCTTTTCTTTATAATCAGGAAGACAATTGTGTGTCTCCTCATTTTCTCCAAAGTTACAAACTACTGTCAGAAGCATGAATGGTGATTAGTTAATGAATAATGTAAGACAGTGGTTAGAATAACATGGAAAGTTAGCTTCAAAATGAACAAACCTATCAAAGAAAAAGCTATTTTTGCAATATGGTCAAGATAGTAGCAGGTATATTATCACTACAGGAAGCAAATCTGACTGTCAAGTTGGTGAAAAATAATTACAATTGTCAGGCAGAAAAATGATGAGATTGTGGGAAATGGAGCATTCCAAAATTCTCACAAAAGTGTTACTTCATGTTATCGTCCCAAAACTCATTTTAATGCTCTAAGATCCAACTCACTTTTCCAGAAGTCATTGTTGCCAGTTTTTATCCTGCCAATTGTGAAATGTTCCAATGTGATTTTTGTGATTGTTTGTTTTATTTGTTTGAGAATTCATTATCGCATTGTCAGATTTCTAGGTCATTGCTTAGAGAGGCAATTTTAGTAGTGTTTTAAATTGCCCATGTGATAAACCTTGTCTTTGGAAAGACCTCTGTCTCAATCATCCAAAATAATTTCATAATCTCTCTTGGATTGAGAGCTTATAGATTTGAGGCCACATAATACTTTCTTTGGCTAACATCATAACTTTTTCCAAGCTAAAAAGAGCTTTCCCAAACCATGTTGAAAACAAAGTTGTGACACTCTACTAAGTGTCAATTTCAACGACTCAAATACATTTTCAAAAATTTCAAGCACATAAAATGTTTCTACAAGTGAAGCACTCTGGGTCCCCTTATTTTACTAGGTCCATGGTTTGTGGTGTTCATAATAGCTCAGTACTTCTTTTGAAGTCAGTATTCTTGGAGCACCTGAAGGCCCTGAGCCCAGATAAGTTCCTCAGAGACAGGCCTGGCATAATTTGTATAACAGCCCCTGGCATTACCAATTCACACTATAATTTTGCCAGATCTTATAAACTAAGCAAGCTTGGTCCTAGTCATTAGAGAGATGCAGCCTCCAGGGTAAACCCAATTGCAGTAGAAACTATCATTGAACTATTATTGAATATGTATATGGTGCCAAAAATGCATCCAACTCATTGCAGTGATTTGGATCTGCAGCAAGACAATGCTTCTGTGCTTCACAAGGGACACATGAATGCCTTGGCAATTTCAACCCAGGGAAATGCTGAAATGGAAAAGCACTGGTCCCAGAAGGGACTCAGGCAACATCATTCTGCTCCCTCGGATTCTGGACCACTTTCAATTCCAGCTTCCTGTATCATCCCCTTATGTAGCCAAGAGTCTGAAGAGAGGCCCAGATGTAACTTGATTATGTTTGGCCAATTTTATCTCCAAAATACTTCTCAAATCTATCTTTTCTTTCCACATGCTGAACACCATTGCCTTAGTCCAGTCCCATATATTGTTGACCTGGACTAACACAAGACCTTCCAAACTAGTCCCTCTAACTCCTATCTACCTATATCTCCCACCCTGAAACTACCCTTACATACATTCATCACATTGCGCCAGAGTGACCTGCCAAATACACATACCTGATCATTTCACTCCAAAATTTTGAAAGGTTCTGAATTCATTCATTATATTTATTGCCCAGTGCCAGCAAAACAAAAGACAACTTACTGTATGGGAGAGGATATTCACCAATGATACATTTAATAAGGCGTTAATTTCTAAAATTTATAAAGAACTCATACAACTCACCTCAAAACAAAAATAAAAACAATCCAATTTTTAAAAATGAGCAGAGACCTGAATAGACAGTTCTCCAAAGAGTGTCATACATATGACCAATAGACATATGAAAAGATGTTCGATGTCACCAATCATCAGAGAAATGCACATTAGAACTATAATAAGATATCACCTCACACCTGTCAGAATGGTTATCATCAATAAATCCACAAATGATAAGTGTTGGCAAGGATTTGGAGAAAAGAGATCCCTTGTGCACTGTTGGTGGGAATGCAGATTGGTTCAGGCCCTGTGGAAAATAGTATGGAGAGTTCTCAAAAAATAAAAAATGAAACTGCCTATGACTCAGTGATTTTTATTTCTGGGTATATATCTGAAAACCCAAAATACTAATTTGAATGGATATATGCACCCCTATGTTCATTGTAGAGTTATTTGCTATAGCCAAGATATGGAAGTAACCCAAGTGCCCATCAATAGACGAGTGGGTAAAAAAGTGGCAACACATATATGTGCAATGGAATATTACTCAGCCACAAAAAATTCCATTTGCAACAGCATGGATGGACCTAAAGTGTATTATGCTAAGTGAAATAAGTCAGTCAGAGAAAGAAAAATGTCATATGACTTCACTTATATGTGGAATCTAAAGAACAAAATAAATGAACAAACAAAATAGAAACCGACTCATAGATACAGAGAATAGGCTAATGGTTGTCAGAGGGGAGGAGGTTTGGTGGCTGGTTGAAAAAGGTGAAGATTAAGAAGTACTAATTGGTAGTTACAGAATAGTCACAGAGATGTAAATTACAGCATAGGGAATATAGTCAAGAATATTGTAATAACTATGTATGGTGCCAGGTGGGTACTGGAAATATCAGAGGGAAACACTTTGTAAAGTATATGATTGTCTAACCACTATGCTATACACCTGAAACTAATACAAAATAATATTGAATGTAAACTGTAATTAAAAAATAAAATTTAGATTTAAAAAATGTTTTAATGCTCTACTGGGAATACAACAGTAAACAAGAACAGATATATGTTGCCTTCTTGAGGTCTACATTCCTGTGGGTAAGACAAGCAATATGCAGACAACTGTACAAATTATATATATATATATATATATATATATATATATATATATATATATATATATATATATCAGAAAAAAAGAGGCAGAGAGTGATGGAGGTGGGTGGGGGTAAGTTTTAGAAGGATAGTCAGGAGGGCCCTTTCTCAGCAGAAGGGCAATGAGGGGAAAGAGTTGGTCATGAGAGAGATTGACAAGAAGGAAAGACAAATGTTACAGACAGAAAGATTACTGAGTCAGGGAGATACCAGCATGTCCCAGACACATCCAGGAGGCCTGTATGGTTGGAATGCAGTGTGCGAGGGGGTTGAAAGTGAAGTGAGGAGCAGGGTAAGGGCCAATTCAAGTAAGGCCTTGCCTTTTAGGCCTTGGTAAGAGTGTGGGTTTTATTCTAGCAGTGACAAAGCTAAGGGAAGTTGGAGAACTCACTGGGGGATGTCATTAGGGACTTCAGCGGAAGAGAATGGAAGGAGACTGAGTCCCACTGTAATTGCAAAGCTATTCCTGATCCATGGTAGCTTGGGTTAGGTTGGTGATGGTGGTCAGATTTGGGATATCTTGTCAAGAGGGTTTGCTGAAGGATTGAATGTGGATCCAAGAGAAAACAAGAAATGAATGACTCAGCATTGCCCATAGAATAAGGGCCAAGCTGATAGTACAACACCCAAATCCTTCCCAATCTGAGACTCTTTCTTCCTAGGTCTCATCTCCCACATTCTATGTCCCAAACATTTCCCTTCAGTAATTCTGAATGATGGGCGTTTCCTGACCATGTCTCCATGCCATTTCATATCTCTGTGACATTTTTAAGGCTACACTTTTTAAAAAATCGTTACCCCATTACCTAAGGATATTTTTTCCCCATTGATTCCTAAAGAGAGTGGAAGAGGGGGGACGAGGGGGTTGAGAGAGACAAAGAAACATCAATGTGAGAGAGACACATCGACTGGTGCCTCCCTTACACACCCCAACCGGGGCTGGGGAACCTGCAATTGAGGTATGTGCCCTTGACTGGGAATTGAACCCAAGACCCTTTGGTACATAGGCTGATGCTCTAACCACTGAGAAACCAGCCAGGGCAGGTTTACTTTCTGTGTGGACATCTCTTCTCACCTATGCAATTTTTTCTTAATCTTCAAGACTCAGATCAGTCATCATCTTCCCAGGAAACTTTCCTGGATCCCAGGTTAGACCAAGCACCCTTCCTGAATCCAGGAGTCTTATCTTAGCATTACTTATACTACATTGAAAAACTGGTTTTTCTCTGTCTTCCCACTAGACTGTCACCTCTGCAAAAGTAGGGATCATGCATTATATGTCTTGGTATTCCCAGTGCCTCACTCAGTGCTTACACAAAACAGAGGCTCAATAAATGCTTGTTGATTTGAACTGAATCTTCTAGGAACTCTTCATACCATGAGGTCAGCCTGATATTGGACAGAGGGAATTACATCACCAAAGAGAAATGGGGAGTGAAGCTTTTCTGGATAATTCGCATTGCGTAGAAAGGTGTGCTGGCCACATGAATCCCTTGCTCTTCCTATGGAGTGCTCGGGTCCTTGGGTCAAAGTAAGCCAGCCCAAAATATCTCTGGATGTGATAAAGAAGGGATCAAGGAGGGAAGGCTTGGGGGTAAAGGTAGAAAGAACACAATTACATGGGGAAATGGACTGCTAGGAAAATGAAACCACAAGCACTGGGCACAAGTCACCTCCGCCTGTGTCCTCAACATCAGCCTTGCTGCTTTTCACGGTCATCATGTCTGATAGAGAATATCAAGAGGCTCATCCTGCGAGCTGCAGGTACAAAACAGTGTTCAGAAGATCTATAATCATATTACATAAAGTGGGGTTTATATAAACTTGACAGAATGTGCTGATGTGAGCCATTTACAGTTCAATTGTAACAGAGCAGTCTGGCAAGCTGTTAGCTTTATCTGGGAGATGATGTACTTTGGATCTGCCATCAAGTCAGATTTAGAATAACAATCTGAAGGGAACACAATCCCTCTTTTAAAAATCCTGCCTTGTCTTCCTGAATCCAGAGAAGCAAAAGACTTTTCATTACTTTTTACAGAAATTCAACTCATCTAAAGATTTGTTTTTGTCAAGGGAAACATATTCATATACAAACTCCATTTTTAATGC